TGTACACATATTTGTATAGGCAAATGTACCTAAGCACTACTACCATGCCATTTTCTTCTCTTTCTGAATTTTGAGATCTTCACAGTTGAAAAAAACAGGGAGATAAGGCCCAAAAAAAATAGAAATTTGAAAACTTATCTTTTACACTTATTATCATTGAAGATTAGGACAGAAATAATCATGACTTTGCTTTATCGACCACCATTTATCTATCTAAGGCAACAGGTTCTACTCCCTCCCAAGAAGAGGAGTGGGTGTACAAATTTGCCTTGACTCCAAATCAAGTGCAGCAGCAGCATTATTTTTAGTTTACTTAACTTCCTAGCCCCACCATTTAACAGACAAGGGACTGTCTCCTTAAAAAATCCTGCTCAGTGGCTGCATAAACCAGTCCTATTTGCTAAATGTAGAGGGTTCCTGCAAAGCTTGTGGGTATGTGTGAATGAATTCCATCATTTTCTTTTTTTTTTTCTATAACTAAGAAGAGAGGGGGGAAAACTAACTCTTTTGTATTTACTGTAGCTTAGCGGTAATAATATATGTGTGACATATTTTTACCCTTGAAATGCAAAAGTACTTCAGAAATTGGTGAGTACTTTATTAAAGTTGCCCAATGACTGATGGAAGGTTATAGTACACTCTGCTTCATGCAGACTCTAAAGAAACCTCTAACTGAAAATATATGGGAAATTCCTAACAAGAAAAAATCCTTCAAGCCAAGCTTATAGGGTCCCAACATTTGGATTTTAAAGTTTCATGGAATTTCTATGATAGAAGTGGTACAAGATTTCAAGTAAACAAGAAAATATAAACATTGTTTATATAGATATAGTCAATGAAGTGTGTCTCTATGTGACAGCTTTATATGGTTCCCCACTTTGCTTTATTTTCACATTGTTTTCCCTCTTCCTGGAATTCTGTCCTAGTGATACTTTTTTTTTTTATGATAGTCACAGAGAAAGAGAGAGAGAGAGGCAGAGACACAGGCAGAGGAAGAAGCAAGCTCCATGCACCGGGAGCCCAACGTGGGATTCGATCCCGAGTCTCCAGGATCGCGCCCTGGCCCAAAGGCAGGCGCTAAACCGCTGCGCCACCCAGGAATCCCCTAGTGATACTTTTTAATCACTACAGCCACTCGAAGATTTGCTAACTCTTTAAGTAAGGTTTCAGTCTACTTCTACAACCTAATGATCAGAAAGGTTGTTAACATTTAAGATACAAACTGCATAAAGCAGCATGAGAAATAAGAGCTGGATCCTCGTTAGCAGTTCTGTTTTCTTTTTTTACTTTTACGACCTTGAAGAAGTCACTTAATCTTTTTGAATCTGTTTTCTCAACTGGAAGTTAAAAGAATTAATTCAAAAGACCTCTAAACTTCCCTTTAGCCACCATTCACTAAAATGTTTAAGATATCCCTGCAAGAATTAGCTAGATATCCCTGCAAAACTTTGCCATAGCTCTTTATGCCTGCAACAGATGGTAGACTGTACAGGAAAATGTTTAGCATTCAGATTAGCTGGCTGGCTCCAGTAAAATAACTATAATAAACACTTATCTTTCAGATCGTATCATTTTTTAGTCATTGAAAGGGCTGGACCAGATTTTAATTTAGTGACACCTATGAGGAAAAAAAGACTCCCAAAACTAACCAGGTAAAGAATATTTACAGGAAAAACACTTACATAAGATCAGCTGGTTTCAACAACATTAAATAGTTGTAAAAAAAAAAAAAAAAGACTTCCTTAAAGCAAATTTTTCTGTGGAAACGTTTTTGATAACAAATTCCATTTCTTTAATAGACATGGGTTATCCAAATTTTCTATTTATTCTTGCGTCAGTTTAGTATGCTGTCTTTTTCAAAGACTTTGTCCACTTCATCTTAGTTGCACGTAGTCGGCATGAAGTTATTCACAACTCTTTCACTTTTTTAATACTGAAATTTGTGTTTTATCTCTTCTTTTTCTTAACCAGTTTTGTTAGGACCTTACAAATTTTATTAATCTTTTCAAAGAACCAATTTTTGGCTTTGTTAACTTGCTATATTGTTTCTCTGCTATTTATTTCATTGCTTTCTTATCTCTATAATGAATGCTGTATGTGCATTTAAAATGAATGTATTTTATACACCTGTTGAATGTAGCCTTCTATAAAGGTCAATTAGGTCAAATTAGTTCAGGGGCTTGTTCAAATCTGTGATATCACTATTTATTCTTTTTACTGATTTTCCTATTACTAAAAGAGGCATGGGAAATTTTTCCAGCCATAATTACAGAGTTATCATCCATTTTACTATTTAATCCTGTCAATTTTTGCTGTATTTATTTAGAATGTCTATTACTAAGCTATGTACATTTAGGGTTATTATCTAATTCTGATTAATTGACTCTTTTACAATTATGAAGTGTCTGTCCTCTTTATCTCTAGAAATAGTTCTTGAAGCCTACTTTGATTTTAATACAGCCACTCTAGCACTCTTCTGCTAGCTTTTTTCCATTGTTTATCTTTTTCTATCCTTTTATTTCCAATTAATGTCTTTATGTTCATATTTTATAGAGAGTAGAGAGTTGGTTCTTGCTTTTTCATCCAGCCTGACAAGCTTTTACATTTAAGGATATTATTTATTCTGAATATTTAATATAAATGTGGCTACAGTTGGATTTAGGTCTACCATTTTCTATTTATTTTTTTATTCACTCAATATGTTCCTCTTTACTGTCTTCTTGTGGGTTAACCCAATAGTTTTTGCTATTCCATTTTAGTTTTTGTACTGCCTTTTAGGCTTGCCTTTTTGTATTAGTGGTTGCTCTGGGAAATGTAATATGCTTTCTTAACTTACCACACTCTACTTAGAATTAATACTGCTACACATAAAATGAAAGAAACTGGCAAGAGAATAACTATTTCTTTCACTATTATTGTCACACATATTTGCATCTATGTAACTTATAAGTAACATAATAATGTTATAATTTTGCCTTAAATGGTCAGTTTTAAAGAAATTTTTTTTAAAATATATTTTTGTGTTGATCAATATATATTCTCTATATTCAGTCTTCCTTATTGCTTCTTGTAGATTCAGATTCTCATCAGGTATCATTTCCTTTCAGCATGAAGAACTTCCTTTAACATTTTATGAAGTAAAGTACAGATCAGGTGGCAATAAAATCTCAGTTCTTTAACTGAAAATTTTTTTCATCCTCCATGGTGTGAGATAGTTTCATTAGATACAAAATTATCAGTTGATATTTTTTCTTTCTGCTCTTTAAATACATAATTTCATTACCTTCTGTCCATCATTTCTGATGAGAAGACATCCATAATTCTGAGAACTGTAACCCTCTGAATAATGTGTATTTTTTCCCTTCTGGTTATTTCCAAAGTTTGTTCTTTCCCTTTAATTCTCAACTCTGACTATGCTGTGCTTACATAAGGTTCTTCTTGAACTTATCTTGCTTGGATGTGATGATCTTGGATATGTAAAGATGCTCTTCACTATATTTAGGAAAAATTCAGCCATTATTTCTTCAACTATTTTTTTCTGCCTCTTCTTATTTCTCTTATCCTCCTGAGACTCAAACTCATATATGGTAGTCTGCTTGATATTAAATTATAGGTCAGTCAGGTTTTGTTCATTTTTATTCTAATTACATGTTACTTTGCTTCAGATGAGTCTGTATAGTTCTACGAGTTTACCCATCTGATCTAGAGCCTTTCCCAATATGCTACTCAACCCGTCAATGACATTTTCATATCAGATACTCTATTTCTCAGTTCCAAAATTTTTATTTGATTATTTTTTATAGTTTCTATTTCGACACTGGCATTCTCTGTTATTATGAACTTATTTTCCTTTAGGTCTTTGAACATTTGTAATAGCTGTTTTAAAGCCCTCGACTGTTAATTCCAACATCTGGGATATCTTTTTCTTTGATGCAAGCCAGATTTTACTATTTCTTCATGTCTAGTATTGTATTTATTGTATATAAACATTGTACATTGTAGAGATTCTGGATTCTGTTATTGTCTTCAAAGGAATGTTGAGTTTTTTATTCTAGGTTGTGGTTGAATTACTGGCTTATCATCTTTAATTTGTCAAGGCTTGGTTTTATGCTTTTGTTTAGGCAAATCAATTTGTTTTATCGTTAGTACTAAGGTGAATCCCTTAGTTCTGTGATTAGTCTTCACTCCTTAGGTATTGGCCTTCTAAGAATTCCTTGGAAGACAGATGCTCACTAAATCCTTATCACTTGGTAGGACTTAAATTCCAATTTCTGACTCTCACTATGGTGAACTGCAATCTGCCTAAACTTTAAAAGTTCCATACATGTAAGGAGTCTATTGTGTGCACTCTGTTCTTAGCACCTAAAATAGCAAGTGCTTAATGTTTGTTTTTAAGTGAATAAACTATCACTACTAAAATAATATGTGGTGGATTAATGAATGAATGTATTACCAGTGAATAAGAAAACACAAGTGTGAAACCTGTCCTTCTAAGAACTTCACTGTTACTTCACTTTCCACAATCCCTTCTTTCCATCTCGCTGTCCAATCTACCTCATAAAATCAAGTTTTCCACAAAAGTTTGTCAACAAATATGCTGCATATAGTAACAAAGCAATCTGAAGAATCCCTCACAGAGTCATTGAAAGGCATACTTTTATTACAGTAAATTGTAGTATACTGTTTCTAATACACAAAACCTTTGAAACATTATACAGCATTGTTACACTACTTTTCCCACCTACTACATAGTAAGCACCAGCCTGGTCTACTGAATGATCACTAATAACTCAAAAAAAAAAAAAAGAATTTTTTTCTCCTTGCCTTAGTCGGATTAAATGGAAACACTGAGAAAGATATGTTAAAAACGTGAGCTTTTAACAACATACATTTCTTTAAACCTAGATACTTCGGTCAAGGTAACCCCAAGTAAGCACATTAATTTATACTTTTTCTGCTATCATATAAAATGTATGCCTGGAGAAAAAAAAGAGATATACCTGGTTCCTGGCTTTGGTTCTGGTTTGATAGGCTGTTGCTCTTTCTTCATTACTGTTTTCTAGAATAAGAGAAAGAAGGATTGACATAGGTAGGAAAACAACTTCATTATCTGTAAAATTTCAATTTCATTATCAAAAAGAGAGAGAACCATTCCATTCTAATATATATTACAAACCTAAACACTGATGTAAATTTGTAAGTATACCATGAACAAAAACATCCAAAATGGAGTCAGGAATGTCAAGGGCCCTAAGACGTTTGGAGCAAGGAGATCCCTGGAGAAATGCATGACCACACCTGTATGGAACATAAACTGCTACACTGTCCCAAGCACAAACGGCTACATCCTGTTGCAGTTCTCAGAGTGAGGTTCACATCACTGAACTCCAACTTAGCACCTGGTATAGTAACTTATCCTAAATCAACCAACATTAATTGTTTTTACCTACACCAAGTCAGAGTTCTTGCAAAACAACTTACATAAGCTTGCAGTTTTGCCTTTGTGTACTTTGTCCTTGTCCTTCCTCCTTGGAGCATTTCTTAGATTTCTCCTAAATCCATGTCTCTTGGATTGAAATTCCTAAAGACCCCAAATAAATTTCTGGTTTACTTTGCAGCCTAAGTAGTTTCCTGTAAGACAATACTCTGAGGAGTGTGATTATTGAACTCCCTCCAGCATCTTTTGGCACCCAGGAACACAATTCCTACTGATCGTTTCAATGAGCAAATATCTATACAAATCTGCTACAGATGAGAATTTATAGATTTACTTATCTGTCCTCTGTCTTATAAAAAAGGTTCAAGGTAGGGATCCCTGGGTGGCGCAGTGGTTTGGCGCCTGCCTTTGGCCCAGGGCGCGATCCTGGAGACCCGGGATCGAATCCCACGTCGGGCTCCCGGTGCATGGAGCCTGCTTCTCCCTCTGCCTGTGTCTCTGCCTCTCTCTCTCTCACTGTGTGCCTATCATAAATAAAAAAAAATAAAAATAAAAAAAAAATAAAAAAAAGGTTCAAGGTAGTGTAAAAAAAATGCAATATATATGAAAAAGGAAAATTAGAAAATCAGATTAAAGGTAAAATATGGATAGAAAAATAATGTCAAATATTTTCTTATATTACTTGATGTGTCACACAGATTTGGTTCTCAAATTCCTAGCTATCAAAATGTTATGGACTGGGGCACCTGGGTGGTTCAGTGGTTGAGTGTCTGCCTTTGGCTCAGGTGATCCCGGGATCCTGAGATTGAGTTCCACATCAGGCTCCCCGCAGGGAGGCTGCTTCTCCCTCTGCTTGTGTCTCTGCCTCTCTGTGTCTCTCATAAATAAATAAATAAATAAATAAATAAATAAATAAATAAATAAACAAACAGATTAATTAATTAATTAAATCTTTAAAAATAAAATTCAGAATGTTATGGACTGAAATGTGTTCCTCTAAAATTCATATTTTGAAGCCCTCATCCCCAGCATGACTACATTTGGAAATAAAGTCTTATGGTTAAATGAGGTCCTAAGGTGAAGCCCTAATCCAATAGAATTTGTGGCCTTATAAGAGGAAGAGGTGCCGGGGTCATGTGTGCACAGACAAAAGGCCATGTGAAGACAACCAAGAAGCAGCCATCTATAAACCAAGGAGGGAGGACTCAGGAGAAACCAACTCTGCCAGCATCTTGATCTTAGACTTCCAGCCTCCAGAATTGTGAAAAAATTAATTTCCGTTGTATAAGCTACCCAGTCTATGGTATTTTATTATGGCAGGACTGGGAAAGTAATACACAAAGCAATGAAGAAAACACAGTAGTTCTAACATTCATAATGTCTGTAAGAGAAGCAAACTTACTTCTTGTGAAAATTTCTTCTATGAGTCCTTCAAAAGAAGCCTCATATATTTTGATGGTCAGCTTCAACAGCATCCCCTCAACAACTACACCAAAGTGTTTAATGTGGATTTTATTTACTATCCCTCAATATTGGTCAACAATAAAAGAACAACTCAGGAAGAGAATTCTACAAGACCTCAGAATAATTGGGTCATTCCCTCTCTGGTCATTCAGGGTGATCCAAAGGTGAAACTTAGACCCAGAGGCGTTGATGAATTGCATATCTACTTTATAATCTGCCATGATGATTATTTTGCACAAAACAGCTTTTGAAAAAAAATGTCTCAGATAAGAGGAATTTAAGGTAATCTTGATAAATGCGTAAAAAGCTAATGGATTTTGGATTATTGGTTTTGTCTTCTCCCTCAGACTCTATAAGAAGTCAGGGAGAGGAAACATTTTGGTTATTGTCATATGGTATGCTTATGATACCACAAAGAAAATTCTTATTTTAGTTTAGTTTTTTTTTTAAGTTTCAAATATGTGTTTAACCACTATTTGAAAACTGAAGCAAAAGAAGTCTCTTATACGAAATCTCAAAATACATAAAGGATAAATGTAAAGATGAAATGTGGAAGAAACTTGTGTTTATACTGCAAAAATACTTAGTATTAGGACATAAGAATGATTATTTTTAAGTATTTTAAAAAATTACAACTCTTATTTTTTTATTTTTTAAAAGATTGTATTTATTTATTCATAGAGACACACAGAGAGAGAGAGAGAGACAGACAGAGACAGAGACACAGGCAGAGGGAGAAGCAGGCTAGCAGGCTCCATACAAGGAGCCCAACGTGGGACTCGATTGCGGGTCTCCAGGATGACGCTCTGGGCTGAAGGCAGCGCTAAACCGCTGAGCCATCTGGGCTGCCCATCTTTCTTTTAAAGTTAAGTTCATTCTGTCTCATACTGTTCTCTCATATGCAATCTAACTTACATATATTAATTTGTATTTTATGCCACTCTTTTTAAGATCGAAGGTTAACTTTTCTTCAATAGTTATGTTAGAGTGCCACAATAACCTTGAGGATTAGTTTGTAACATCTAAGTAACTATTTCTTACTTTTAAAATTTTCTGATGATTTCTTCATTTTCAAAGTAAACAATCATCCTCAAGAATAATACTGTACTTTAAAAAATTTACATGCAACATATAGGTGATAATAAAACTGAAGCAGCATCTATATATTTTAAATGTTGCCCTCAAGATGTTCCATGACATATATTCATGGCTACAAAAATACTAATAACTACAAAAATTAACTTTAACCAATATATTCCATACTTTAGCACAAAATAATGTGCTTGGCTTAGAACACACTGTCCATGTGTGATACTAGTATTTATGATTGCCAACTTAATATTTTTTTAACTGCTTCCTTCTTGGCCAGACTAACTGAATTGGAATGTTCTCCATGATGAAGGGTGTCAAATGTGAAGGCTGCTAAGTAAAACAGTCTCAGACAAACATTCTTGAGGATTTTTGTTACTAAGATAGTCTTTGATGCTTTTTCCAGTTACTTTCTCACAACTTCATTGACTTCACAACCTCCATTGTGTCTCTCTTTTCCTATTTAACATAATCAGAAACTGGTTTTTATCTTGGACTTTTGGGGGGCTAAGGGGAAGGTGGTCTCTTTTTGTAACATAAACAAGCAGTACTTTTATTTACGTAGTCCTGTGAGGTTTTTTTTTATAAATCTTAGTTTCCTACATATTTATATATTCAAATTTCAAGTCCATTCTGCCTTAATGTTTCAACTCCATCCTCTCTCAAAATCTTCCCTCTTTCCACACATATTACCTGCTTCTTTAAACTATTTCAAGCTCGTAGTCACTTGATGGCAATGCATTTGGAGTGACACATTCTAAATACATGATGTAAGATGTAAGTCATTTATTAAACCCTCATATTAAAGCTTTCAAAAATTTTTAAAACCTATGTGCTATTTATTCCAAACCACTGTTCAGACTCCTTTGCCCACGTATTTCCCAAATCCCACAGTTTAACTGGTACCAAGCTTACTTCTGATAATTTACACATTATTACACTTCCAGCTTCTTTTTATAAGTAACTGTCTAATCCATCAATTATCCTCTTCTTCCCATATCTCATCTGGATTTTTTTTCTTTTGACAATGTTGCTAATTTCTCTCATTGTATAATGATTAAATTCTTGATTAACCACAGATGAAATATGGAAGAAAGCCTTTCACTTTGGATATTAAATCTAAGACATATTTCTATATTACTAGTATTAGTGTGAAATTGTAGAATATGTTTGCTATAACAAAATAATCTATAACTGGCATATTACTTACCCCAAATGTGGTTAAAGGGTTATTTTCTAAGTAGCAAAGAATTTTCATAGTTTTAAACAGCTTTGTGACCCTACCAGATGTATATATAAACACATCATTAAAGGTAAAATGAAAGGTTTGTTTAAAAGTAGGTAACTGTGAAGAGAAAATCATTAATAGCATACACATATAAAATTACAATTACACATTAAAACATGTGAAATAAACTGAAAATCTTTCTCTGCCAGGCTTGACTATTAACACTTGTGTTTCCCCAGCAGAAGTCAGTCATGTCACTAGCACCTTCTGTGAAATAGCAGTGAGCTGCCTTTCTTATATTGCTCCTGTTTCTTGTATAAAAAGTGGTTTAAAGAGAAAAATGGCAATAAGCTTGTACTCATGTAGAACTAGCAGGCACCATACACATCATTCTGGGATTTTTCACAAGTCAATATCTTTGCATTATTAAATTTTAGAGCTTTCCCAAACACACACAAACCACAGGAGGGTTTTCAAGCCATAGAATCATCCATGGGAAATTGTAATAGTCCCAGGAAACCCACAGAATCCCAAAATCTCCTCATGGAGATAGAAGCTTCCATTTTGGAAGATATTCTTAAATGTGGTATTTTCTTCACCTCTTGAGAAAAATGGAGTGATCTCAAAGATAATGCTGGCCACTCTATAGTGGCCATGGCTTCAAAAAGCTGTTCAACTTTCAGATTAAGGAATACTAGAGAAGGTGACCCAGCAAAACACAGGTCATTCATTATCCAATCACTAGACAAAGTTTCTTAAACCTCTAAGGGAAATAAAAACTATATGAATTATTCTTTTATATGTAGGAATTTAAGTATAACATAGTAGATAATAAAAAGAC